CTAAAATGCTGAGAGTTTCCCAGTTAAAACTATGGTTCAGTCTGTCCATGTGATGTGAGAATAAGGAGTTTTCATCATGTCTTCTGACTGCTAGTTGGTGCTCGTGAATGTGCTCTGCTAGTCTTCTGCCTGTCTGTTCTACATGATGTTTGTTACAGTCCTTACACTGTATGTTGTAAATGACTCCTGTAATCCTGTAAGAGATTGTAATGCAACGCCTAGAAGCCATAGCACTTCCTCACATACAACCTAAAGTATGGATCCGGTACGTAGATGACACCTTTGTTATAATAAAAAAGGAACAACTAGAGAAGACACATGAAACCATCAACAACATCTTCAAAGTTAACAGTCTGTTTATATTACCCTTGATGTCAGGAGGCTTTTGGTATTCAATAGCAACGTTGGCTGTTAGGCAGTCATTAATCTTTTTAACTGTTTGGCAGCCTTCACCCGCTTCAGAGTCTCAGGGCTAGATCTAAGTCTCTTCTCCTTACCCATTTTAGTATGAGGGATACCCACTCTCCTCTAATAACTGAATGAGTAAGTAGGCAGACAGATGAATTCTGACTATGCTACTAAGCTGTCGCCATCTTGTGTGGGGGGGGAATCAATTACTTAACTCCATGTTTTCTTGATTTAGTTTATTAGCCTATTAGTTCTGTTCACAGAGATTGGATTCACACATCATGTTAGGCCAGAATTTTGTTTTTAGCCACAATGACCCAGTTCACACTTTATGCTAAATTGCAATGATTGCCAAACCCAGTGCAAACAGTATGACATAGTATAATGTGTGAACCAGGCACTAACTCACAGATGGCATTGCTTGAAGGCCTAATGGATAAACAACAGGAAGCTGGCAGATACTGTGCACTAAACACCATTTCATATGCTTTCATCCAACAAATTTATACAGATGATGAATAATATTGAGAACACTGTTTATCTGCAGAAACCCATTTTACACTAGAACTAAATGGTGTCACTTCCAAACATTATCCTGAAATCTAATTGAAATGGAACTAGAAAATCTTTCTAATTTTTTAAGATAATGTTGTTCACCTCAATTACAATTTGGTAACTGACACAGTGATGAGACAAAGCAGTTCACTGAAGTTGTGTAAGGTACAATTTGTCCAACATCTCCTATAATACATTCATATAATACTAAAAAATTGTCTGTCTTTATGAGATCAATTATGAAATTATTTATTTAACTTATACGAATAAAGGTCTACAAAAATTCTAAGCACAGTTCCACATCAGATGTAGAAGTCAGCTGTACTCAGAAGATCCCAAGACTGGTTGTGCAGCTTTTGTGAGAGAATCCAGCAGCTGATAATAGGAGTATTTTAGATCATATTCCATATCATACCAAAAATTCACTGAGGAAGAAAGAAAAAGCATATCATCTATCTTTGCCAATATTAATAGTATTCTTACCCCATTATTTAAAGCTTTTTCGTGAACTTTGTGATACAGCGCCCCTGAGAACCAAACTTACAGATATAACCTGCAGATATTACCCTTAATATTATTAGCACCCAATCTTCATGTGTAAGAGATTAATGCCCATTTAATGCATTACATCAGCAATACAGTAGTTGCTTAAAACCAGAGCAACATCTTCATAAAAACTATCTGCATAAAATGATTTTCTATGGAGCTCAGTTAATCTAAGCACTGGGTTTTTTGGAGATTCTGTTATCAGAGCCTTGGAGGAGAATAATCCAAGTGATTTCAACAATTCTGCTTCAGCAAACAGCTTTATTACTAGTATGAATTACTACATGGCTACAAAAGAGTTCTGATACAGTATTTTTAAATTTAATCTAGTTTCATATATTTTCCATGGAAATGGACTTTACATTTTTTTTAAAATCTCTGTATTAAAAGGGGTGTGAACTAGAGAGAGATGATACAGAATCCATTGTGAAGATCTTCCACGCCATTTTCACTTTAAATGAACAATAGGTGCAGGTAGTCCTCACTTTGTTGTTGTTGTTGTTGTTGTTTAGTCGTTAAGTCATGTCCGACTCTTCGTGACCCCAT